CAAACACCACACTGAGGCTTTGTGAAGCAGAGAATGAAGAGAGGTTCTTCCCCCACCAGAAAGCCTAGCAAGTTCAGGGGGAAGTGGTTGAGCCCGGGAGACCTGAGGCCTGCAGGGTCTAGGAGATGCGAGGTGCAGGGAAATCTGCAAAGGAGGAAAGCAGGAAACCCAGTGTGGGCAGGCGTGCCGTGCCGAGGGAGGCCCAGCCACCACGGGGAGTCACAAGCAGCAAAAAGCCCAGGGGCCCATTCGGGACACCTCTCCCCTTTGCCAGGTACCAGATTCCATCCCTAATTCTATGCCGCAAAAGATGGGAGGGGTCCCTGGGGGTGAATTACACAGAGAATTTTCACCTGGCCCCTAAGAAGAGGCGCTTGGAATAAGTAATGGTGATGTTCTGTAGAGAACTCAGCAAGTTGTATTTTTTGCAGTTTATTCTGTCCCGTGTTCTAAGACTCCCATAACGCCACTTACTCTTCACAGTAGTGTGTTTAGCAGCTGTATTGATGTCTGTCTGGTTAACATGCCAAACACTTCAACCATTCAACAAGTAAGAAACAACTGACGCAATCATGATCACCCTGGATTTAAAACACTTGCAATCGTGAATTTCAAGTATTCAAATACGGTATTACTAACCACAGCTGCCATATGGGACATTGAACGTAGAACATATTCATCTTACCATTGACAGAAATTGTCCTTTGACAAACATGGCTCCACTTCCCCAAGCTCCTGGACCTGGACAACAGCAACCAGTATTCTCTGAGACTGCAAATGTTAAACCTTCTTCCCCAGGACCAATTTTCTTCCCCTCAGGCACCAAAACAGTAGGCAACTACATGAGACCCATTGAGTTGTGGTAATTCATCACAGCAAAAGGGGAAGCAAATATACACATTCGCTGTTCCCACAGCTACTTTGACAGTGAAAACGGATACCTCTCTGTTGCTGGGAATTCCACCAGACATGCTCCCCACCAAGGAACCACACTGCAAGTCTCCTGGGACCGCCCACAGGTCCTATGCCTATAGAAGGAAGGCATCAGCCTTCTTGGCTAGGAAAACTTCTGCATAATAGAAAATCGTGTATTGAAAATGGCAGCTGCACGAAATCCCTTCACAAATGTTCCCACAGCCTAACAGGTTTATTAAATAACTCATCATAGACAATTTGACTTGGATCGCTTGGAATTCATTCACATTGTGTATTATAACCGTCTCAGCACTATTTGATCCGTCTTTCATTCTGAAGCCACCTCTAAATTGACAAGAAAACTTTTAACAACACACCACAGACACACACACACACACACACACACACACACACACACACACACACACACACACACACACACTCCTCAAAACTTTCCTCATTAAAACCACCAAAGAGTAAGAGGACTCCACATGATTAGAATACATTATATGCATGCACAAAACATATCACACTGAGAACCCTTTGTGCAATTAAAATATGCTGAATTTTTAAGATCTTGGTTTCCTGGTTCCTTTATTACCTCTAGTCTTAATATCCACATACTGGTAAGAATTTTAAACTTTAGCAACTTTATTTTACTGAAAACCTAAATAGTAAGCAATTTTGAACTCTGCTGTTGGCATTTTTCATGTTTCCCAGAAGTGCTGACTTTGTAATTAACACACCCAACTCATTTAGCTACTTTATGCCATATAAATACAAGAGGTCAAAATACATAAACTCAATAAGCTTGAAAATTAGTCTAATAGTTTACGTTAGTTAGAAACGGGCCAGACATCTAATGAATATCTACTGTATAATTTCACATTAAGATCTCTTTGGCTGAAAGATTCTTGAAACAGAGTTCATTTACAAGTGTTTTATCTTTACCTAATTTACCTATTTTCAAACACTTATTTCTTTTCTTTTTGCAAACAACAGTGAGCTCAGTTTCTATTAAGCAGCCTAGTTCTTTTTATTTTTATTGAGCTCAGTACCTGCTACTTTTACTCACTGGCTAGTGCTCTACCAACCGAATCACACCTAAAACCCCTCAAGCAGCTTAATCTGAACTGGGGCTTCTGAGAGACTAGCCACAGGTCCTCCTCAGAACTCCCTGTCTGTTTTTCTCTAGGACTCTTGTGGGACCCAGAACAGATAGAAAGCATAGGGCCTGGCTTGGTCCCTGACTCACACAGCTGGTGCAAAGCCCAGGACAGAATAGGCAGCTGTGAAAATGATGCTTACAAGATCCAACCCTTTCCAGCGTGGTCAGCAGCCAGCTGGGTGAGAGAAGATACAGGGGTCTTAGCCAAGCAAGGCCCCTCCATAGCTAGGTGCCATAGCACAGGTGCCAAAAAAAACCATACCTGTCCTAGGCCTTGCTTTGTCCACCCACCCAGGCCCCAGAGCCTCAAAACCAAAGCTACAAACTCACTTGACTCATTCAGGGCTTGGCGAAGCTTCATCTCATAGACAAATCACGCAAATATCAAAAACATTACGGAGGTAAACTGACTAAAAAGCCAAAGCTGAAAGCCAAACACATTTCCCTTTCTCCATCTTTTCATCTCCTACCTGACAGGCACCAGAGAATTCCCTCTTGTTGTGCATTTCTGCTCCTAAGCTAGACCCCTGGTTTCACGGCATCCGAGGAGACAGGGAGCTCGTTTACATGGTAGATACAGGACGGAATAAAAGTTTGTGTTGTAATTAACAGCTGACTCAAGCATTTATATATACATTTTTAGTTTACTGGATTAAATTACTGGATGGCATAGGTTTCCTGGATCCACCTGTAGATAATCACCCAATTCTCATTAAGATTCTCCCTTCGTCATTTGTTTGTTGTTGTGTTTGTACTAAGTCCCCAAGAGTACAAAGCAATGGGGAAAGAGTATACAGTATCTGTGAATTTCCAAAAACAGTCATCACCAATTACAGCCTTCCTGCCCACCCAGTCAGGTGTCAGAGATGTGCAACCGGATCCAAATTCAGTTCCTTACCAGATGCAGTTGGATCCTGGTTCCATTCCAGGTTCTGCTAAGACTTGCGGTGGTCATAAGCTCTCGCCCCGTGCAATGAACCCTGGACTTGGGAAACCAGAAAGGTGAAAGATGAAAAGATCAGGTGAAAAGTGGGATGATGCAAAGCCCAGCCCTGCCAGGAGGAATGGTCCTCCAACCCTCTGCTCCAGGAAGGAGACAGAGGGACCCCCAAGGGAGGGGGTAGCGGTGCCCACTCTCTCCCTTCCCCAGGGGAGCCTGGGCTCATCTGCACTTTCTTTCCGGCCCCTTTCATACACTTGTTACAACTGTTAGAAGAAACAAAATTACAAACCCAATTTTATAGATCTTAATTGGCTTTCAGTGGCGGGGCTAGGATTGTGTGGCATTCTGACCCCAAAATACCCAGAATGCAGCACCTCCCCTCAGGGGCAGATTGTGTTTGTAGCCAAAAACAGAAAGAAAAAAACAAAGGAAAAAAGAAAGTGTCATAGAAAAAAATAGAAGTGAGGTGCTGGGCCTGATTGGTTACAGCTTGCACCTGTTTCATTTAAACATGGCTTAAATAATTGGCCTCTTACGGCTGGATGAATTTCAGCTTCTTGTTACAGGAGACTACAGGCAGTTTACCCACGTCAGGTTACAGTTCATTATGTGTGGAGAAACCTTGAAGGAACACTTAATATACACAGGAAGGCAGCTTTAGGCCACACTTCAGTCATGGCCGCCGCTTGCTTTGAAGACAGAATGAATCTGTGTATTTCTCTGTGGATCTGACCCCGAAGGGAGCCTGAGATGACGTGAGCAGAGCAAGGAAGGGGGGCAGATGGAACCCTGTGCCCCAGCCCCTCAGCCCACCCTCGGCCAGGGGACACAGCACATCCCGGCAGGCTCAGCCTCACCTCTCACTGACTGCTGTAGCTTCTCTGAGGATGGAAACCTGCTAGGTCCACACACATTTACCTGAGAAGTGCTGCGTGCATCTGCAGGTGGAATTCGCTGCTCAGTGGAGAACAGGAGCTTGTCAGCATGGGCTCAGCCACAGATGCTGCACATGATCAATGGCTGGAGGTCTGAAGATACCTTTCAGGTGGTGCCAGGCAAGTCGAAATAACATAATCTCTGGGGCTTATTTTCTCCTTCCTTCTCTCATTGCTGTGGCCTGGCGGTATCCACCAAAGAAGCTATCTATCTTTCTGTACACAAGTCTGTAGCAGGCTCTGCGTTCAGGAAATTCCAGTTAATACATGAGGATGTATTGTCTTATAGATGATATAGAGCCTCAGGCTAAGAAAATAAAAAGAATGTGGGACTTGCATGGATAGTGCTCAGAAGTATGTATCATTCCAAAGATCTACAGATCTCCTGTGTTTCCATTCTTTGTTAAAGTGTAGACTTGTCAGCTACCCTTCATCCTTACAAAGCAAGAAAAGGCAGGTAAACAGTAACTGCATAGCTGTAATCCCACTGAAGTGGATATTACATACAAACAGTGCTTCATGGTGGGCTCTGGCTGTCTGGGAAGTCACACCTTCCTTTGAATTATAGCTGCTGTATTTAGTAGGAGCTTTAGTGTGTTTTACAAATCTCAAAGCTGTTGGGGGCATTTTCTAAATTACTTTCTTAGTCCCCTTCAACAATGAGATCCCCAATCCTGCTAAGCTGAGCTATGAGCTATTAGCCAAGCAGCCAAGTCAATATATCATATGGAAAAGTTCAGAACCTTATGAGCACTTCATTTTCTCCTAGGGAGTCATTTGTATGTTGGTAGGAAAGAGATGACTCAAGTCCGGTCCTCTGAGATAAAAGCTCAGAGGACATCATGCATGTACCAGCTCACTGTGAATGAAGGAATATATTTCATAGTTGGAACTCTTAAGAGATTAAATTAAGTCATTTGCCTTGACCCTGTGTTATATAGTGTTTCTACACATTGGCAAAAATATTATTTCTGTCAAACTATAATTATAAATACTTTTGAGTTGAGAGCGTCTGCCTTAATTAAAATACAAATCAATATACCAATCAGCATACATTTATTAAATATTCTCTTTAGAGAAGAGGCTGTCCTGGTGGTAAGGAAGTGTGGGCACAAATGTCAGACATGATCTCTGGCCTTACAGGCCTTAGCAAATCATCATTTTATTCATGCTTTTAACATCAGACACGATTGCAATGAAACATTCTAGTAACAGAGACCAAGAACCCCAATCCCGAGTTGAAGAATCACATTTAAAATGTAGAAAACCATTAGAAATGATCATTTCATGTTTAGCATCTGAGATATTATGCTCTTTTCAAAACAATTTAATTACATTGCTTTTACAGTGAATTTGTGAACTAAGAATTTCACAGATAACCTGTTACAAGATGGTCTGGTCTAGCACAGTCCTGTATGAAACCAAATTTCACCTGCTTAACTTCTGCTTTATCCTGTAATCGGGCCTCTGCGTCAGTGGGTGTGATGATGGATTCCTGGTCTTGAAGCCATGAGGCACGTGGACCCCTTGGGTGTTTCAGGTCAGGGTGCTGCAGAGTTACAGGTGGCGCGGCATTGCTCCTCCAGAGGCCCAGGACCCCAGGACCCCAGTGACATCAGATCCTCTTCCTATACTCAATTCGACACTGCCCTTCAGGCTTGGGGACACCTACCAGATGGAGATCACTCTGGAAACAAGAAATGCAGAAGAAATATACAAATGAAGAGATGTAAGCCAAGAGCGTTAGACCTAACTAGCCTAGATTCTCTGAAAGGTGCAGATTGGGGGTTTTGAATGCTGGAATGTCCCACAACATTGAGAATCGACTTTAGTCCTGCACACAAAGAGCAGAAAAGGAGGGAAATGCATTGTTCTAACAACAATCTCCTTGCTACACCTCCCAAACCTATGGTCTGGCCTGCCTACTGTGCTTCACATTATCTGGCTAAAGACATTAAGTAAATCTCTTTCTACCTGTCTGAGACACACTTTTCATAATCAATTTTTTGTGGCGTTCTCAATGGTACATGTATGGTACAGATCTTAGATGCACTCAGCTATCACAATTACAAGGTACTTGTGGTCATGGTTTTCCAAAGTGACATTTTTGTGGATTCTTTATGTGGCTTATCTCCCTAATTAGGACAGGTCTGAACATTATGTGTGTGGATGAAGGGAGGTCAGCATATTGGTAAGAATACAGAAAGATTTCTGACACTTAGGGATTTCAAAAGGACAAGCAATCTATTCAAACAGCCTGAAGACCTGGAGTTAACGAGGAATCAGAAGGTAGATACAGTTTGGGTTTTGAAGTGTGGGCCCAGGAGGTCACTGAGTGTACTCCAGAGCAAAGAGATTCCTGAGGGTTTTGACAGAACGAATTGTAAGGTTCCTAGATCCTTTTAAAACTGTGCCCACTGGGGCTGGGAAGTTGGCTCAGTGGTAGAGCGCTTGCCTTGCACGCCTGAGGCCCTGGGTTCGATTCCTCAGCACCACATAAGTAAAAAGAAAAAAAGCCGGAAGTGGTGCTGTGGCTCAAGTGGTAGAGCACTAGCCTTGAGCTGAAGAGCTGAGGGACAGTGCTCAGGCGCAGAGTTCAGGCCCCATGACTGGACCCAAAAAAAAAAAAAAAAACAACCAAAAAACAAAAAAAACTGTGCCCATCACTTAAACCTCGGGGTTTAATGTGTCTTCAATATGGAAGTCATGCTGAGATCCAAAACTCTGAACTCACCTGTTTTGGTAATGGGTCCAGGAGATAACAGTCATATTTATATAGCATTAAAATAAGGCATATTTCAATCTCTAACAGAGCGAACCACCTGAAAGTAGACAATGTACAACATCAGAATATATCCAGAAAGTATACATACATCAGAGCAAATACGCTATTTCTCATAATCATTTACTATTAAAAAACCACAGGGTACGACATCACCATTTTCTTTCTTAATACCACATATTCCAGAGGGCCACTGTGATGGCTGGACTGCTTCAGATATCTAAAATGCTTAGCCAGGGAAAGCAGTCAAAACAAAAACAAAACCTGGAAGTTTAAGACCTGTGCTTTTGAACACTGTAGCTATCAGCTACATGTGGCTATTTCAACTCAAACCTTTAAAGAATTTTAAAAAATGAGAAAGTTCAATTTCTCAGTTACAGATTTCAAATGTCGGATAGTCCCACGTGGCTACCAGCTACCATAAAGAATGTATTTCAAGCATTTCCATGATTGCAGAAAGTTCTACTGAATCCGGCCCCAGTTCAGAAATACTTGTCTGTATGTTGTAGAAGCTCCGAATCCATTCTTTCCTGTCTCAGGAATCTCCATTCACACAGTGAGAACAAAAGAGGGTGTTCTTCGGAGAGGATGGCAAGGCCTCAATCGCCACGTGCACACGATCATATAAAATGATATGTATCAAAATGGACGCCAAGATATGGAAGCAAGACATTTTTTATTGTACCATCTGCAGTTCTTCTTTCTTCTCCTTTTTCTGTTTCTTTTGTTTACTCCTTTCTGTCACTGTTTTTAGTGTCTGTACCCTTTGTCTTGTATATAAGTTTATCTGATTTAGGGAGGGGAAGGGGAAGCACAGAAAATGTTGGGACAAGGATGAGCCAATTCAGCAGTGAAATCCACTAGACACTATGTTGGAAATTAACTATACAAACTCAGAGGGAGGGGTCTTAGGAGGGGAAAAACTGGGAGAGAATGAGGGAGGGAATGACACTGTTTAAAAGGAAATGTACGCATTATATGACTTATGTAACTGTAACCTTTCTGTACATCATCTTTACAATAAAATTTAAAAAAGAGATTTTCCAACCTTTTGAAATCATGTATTCCCTGCTGACGAAATATTTGCACACATCATACATACAATATGTTGATTTTTCATTTATTTGAAATTAGGTAAGCATATGTAAGTCTGTTCTCTTCTTTCTAAGATACAAATGGAAACTTACAAGAACTGAAAAAAAGGTGAATGTGATGACATTATCTTTCCTTTGATCACACTGGGCAGGCAAACCCTTTAGGGAATCATAGACCTTAATGAGTACAGTTAGTGCAATGGGCCAGAAAACTGGAAGTCATCACTGAGAGAATCCTGAGCACCTCCCTGTTTAAGTGGGCACCAAGTCTTCCATTAATATAAAATGTAGTCAGACATTTTATCAAATGTTATAAAACATTTTATACGCAGCCTAGGCAAAAAGTGAGACCAACCTCAATTTAAAAAAATGCTGGGGTGGGTGGGTGGGTGATGAGGTCCAGGCAGGCTCAGACAAAATCAAACCCAAACAACCCAAGCAGAAAGGACTGCGGGCATGTCTCTAGTAGAGCACTTGGTAGTCAACTAGGTGGCCCTGATTTCAAACCCCAGTATCACAAACAAATAAAACCTTTTATGCAGAAAAGTACATATTGAAAGAATCTCAGAGGAAAAACATTTCCATTACCAGATGGAATGCACATCTTCCTAATTTTAGGCTCTATAGTATTCTTGAAAAATGACAGAAATAGGAGCGAGGTGTGTGCACAGAGGGATGGAGAGCTTACCAAGCAAGCACCAGGCCCAGTGTCACCAGCCCCCCCAGGCACGCACACGCGTGCGCATGCACGCGCACGCACGCACACACACACGAGCACACACAAGACTCTCCTTAGAGATCAAGTTTAAAAGTCTGACTTTTCATCAATTAGTGAGCTTTTAATATTTTTCTTCTTCTATTTTTAATGCTATTTATTAAGTATATGTTTATTAAGTATATGCTAGGGTTAGTATTAACATGATGTTTTGGTATCTTAGATAAGGAGAAAAGATAAATTAATAATGCAGTAATAATAACATGCTAAAATCTTAGGGCCTCCCAACTCAAATATATGCATATTCTAGTAGAATTATCTCAATTATCCACAAAAGTTATTATTTTGGCAATGACAAAAGTAAAAATAGTTTGTTAAGCTTTTACTAGGTTGCCCAATTTTCTTCAAAAGCATAAAGTGCCAGAAATTGTTCATCTGTGACATTAAAAGCTCTAATGTCAAAGAAAAGTGCCTCATAAATCTGTATTTTTATAGAAGAGCTGCAGAAGCAAGCTGAGCTATGTTCATGCTAAGCATGTTTTTTAATGCTTCAAATATCAAAACAATGACAATAACAAGGCATGTTATTTCTAACAGATTTTTTACATTTACAAGAACAACATCCACACATAAAATTCACTGAACTATAAACACGTTGAAGATTTCTTAAGTCCTCAGAGCTCACATGTTTTCCCCTCTTGTAAATACTTATTAGAAGAACACTGGGCAGGCAATGAGAATCCAGAGTCCTGTAAAGCACTTGGCACGGAATGAACAAATGAGCCACTGAAGGTAAGAATATAAGGTACCGGGGGAAACAACACACAACAGAATTCTAGTCTGGAAAAAGCACAGTGACTGGACTGTGGGAAGGTGAAACTTGAGCTAGACCTCGAGGGAAGGGCAGGCTTTAAGCAGCCATGTTGAGGGAGGGGTGTGGACGCTCTAATTAGGGGGCAGTAGAGAACCCTGGAGGGAGGGCACTCCAGGGAGGGCATTCCGAGGTGTTGTAACAAGGTGAGCTGGAGTTTGGGGCTGAAGAGTTTGATGGGCAGGCGACAGTCATTTGTAAGAAGTGATTGTGGGCAAGGCCAACATGGGCTGGCACATTGCTCCTGTTTCCTAGAGCCAGAGCTCTGTAATGTATTCTTCTGGTTGCTATCTGCTGCAGCTTATGAAAACAGAACAATCCTGCTCTGGCATTTAGAGAAGGCTGCACACAGCACCGTGTCCCTGGGAACATGCATTGAAGTATGGCCATTCCTGCTCAAGAGAAGGCCCTTTCCCCACAGCCTCATCCTCCTAAGAAATCCTTTAAGAAGATAAAAACAATCAGGCAGCAGGAGGCAAAGCCATCTAGACCCACGGCAGCTCTGCAGCTTTAGTGTGCATCAGAATTCCCTGGAGGGCTTGGGACGGCGTACCTCCCTGAACCATGTCACCCGAGTTCTCTATGTGAGAGGCCTGGGCATAGAAGAATCGTGCAGGTGTGGTCACTTAAGTTTTATGGTTGAAGTAATTTTACTACCGTTAAATGATTTACCATAACGACAGAAAAGCATGCTGAGTTTAGTTACACATTTGGCTACATGTTGGCAGATATTTCCATTAAATGTGATACGGTCGAATGTGCTCACGTTTACAATTAGCATCCATTCACTTCTGCCTGAAGAACTCCAATTCAACATTTCTGGTCACATAGGTCTATAGTTGGTGAGCTCCCCCAGGTCTTCTTTGACTTTCAGAGGTGTGACCTCACCTCCATTTCTGAAGGACAGTCCCGGCAGGTAAAGTATTTCATTACTTTGAATCTGTCATCCTGTTCCCACCTAATGTCTGCAAGATGAGTGCTGAAAAAATATGCCACTGGTTCCCTTGTGTGGGACCTGACACTTTCCTTTCACACTATTAGATTTTGTGTCATTGCCATTTGATAATTTGGCTATACTATATCTTGGGGGGAAATCCTCTTTTGGTGAAACCATTTTATAGGCTTGGGTGTACACCTGTCCCCAAAGTTTGGGAAGTTTCCTTTAAATAACTGCCCCCCCATTCTCTCTACCTTCTCTTGTCACTATCAAATATATGCATATGTATGAAATATGTCTAGTATTTGTATGTATATATGCACATGTATCTACAAATGTATATACATACAGCATATACATATTTGCGTGGAAATTCTAGTATATACTAGATACATGTATTTAGAGATCTGTGTCTATAGAGACTATATCATATATGTGCATATATATGCATATCCACAATGCATATAAATGTACACACATATGGATAGATTAGGTAGGTAGATATATAGATATCTAATGTATAGTGGCCTTTGCATCTCGTGGGTTTTCTTTGTTCTTTCCTTTTTTCTCCTGAGACTAAACAGTTTCACAGGACCTGTTTTCTAGTTCACACCGGTTTTCCTGTTTGGCTAAATCCACTGTTGAGACTATTTTATTTCTCACTCCACATGTCCGTCTCTGTTAGTGTTCTCCTCCTAGTCAGGTAGTTACTCTGATTGGCGAGGCTGACTTGCCTTTGAGTTCTCTTGTATCTTATTGAGCTCCCTTAGGACAATTACTTGAAATTATTTTTTAGGAAACTCATAGATCTTGATTTAATTTCTTTGGGGTTGATTATTGAAAATTTCTGTGTGTGTGTTTTTTTTTGGTGGTGTCATGTTTCCTTGTTTTTGTTTTCATGTTCTCATGGCCTTGCAATGATACCTATACATTTGACAACGCTATCCTCGCTTTCAAAACTTACAGACTGACTTTAAGGAAAATTAAAGAAAATAAACTGCTTTTTTTCAGTACTGTTGTTTTATCTCAGGGCCTTGTGCTTGATAACGAATACTCTAATGATCGGGCCACTCTCTAATCTTTTTTTTTGCATTATTTACTTTCAAAGAAGGGCTGCCTTTTGTCCAGAATGACTCGGACTGTAATTTCACTTAAACTTCCTGTGTAGCTGAGATGACAAGTGTGTGCTCCTGCATCAGACTTTTTGTCAGCTGTCATCAAGTCTTGGGAACTTTGTGACTCAAACCACAATCAGCTTCCAGAGTAGCTAACACCTCAAGTTGCGACTACCACACCAGGCTATGAATTATTCTGTAAAGCTAACAAATCCAAGAGCTGGGGCTGGCCTCGGGCAGAACTCTCCTCAGCAATTTCCTTCTGTTGCTTCATTCCATGTTATAAACTTCATTCTAACATGGCTCTT